AAGTAGATTGCCTCACCTTCCTTCCATGGAGAGGCTGGTGGGTTTGAACTGCCAGCCTTCTGGTTAGCAGTCAAATGCCTTAGGCACTACACTACCAGAGCTCCTTATAACTGCGCCATGAATGGGAGATCTCTGGCCAGCCCAGGAGGGAGGGTCCTTTCCCCCTTTTCCCCTCAGCTCCAGCATCCCCTCTGTCTTGCCCTCCACAGAAGCTTCTGGTTAGACAGTGGCAGCAGAGCCATACCCATGGGTGTCTTCTCCCCACACAGCAGAGGTCCATATCCGCATCTGGGCAAAGGCTGAGCTTCTCCCACCAGATCCCTGTGGGGACAGAGCTCAGATTGTCCTGGGAACAGCCAGCTCCAACCAGAAAGTGGGTCTCACAGGGCATGTCAGAAATAAGGCACAGCTGGAAAAGCGTTTGCCAGAGACCATTGCTGCCAGCAAGGCCCAGGGCTCAGGAGCTGGGGCAGGGAGGGACAGACCTCCCCTTATTTAGCCTCACCCAGGCCTTTAAGACCTGGAGGCTGGGTGGGCCTGTGTGACTGACCAGAGGAGGGAAGCTGGAGGCAGTGAAGGGTGAAGCGACAGTCCCGCCAAGTTAGGACATAATGGAGGAAGAGCTAGGGTGGAGACAGCACGCTGTCTAGGAGCCAAACCCTACATCTGGCTAGGGCTGAAGGGGTGGCCCAAGCTTCTCTGTGTGCCCACCCTTCTGTCAAGGTTTCCTTCTCCACATATCTTCCCCACACACATAACGCACTGGGATTTTGGAGACTGTCTCCTCCGTCCTGCCCCTTGCCCATCCAGGAGCCTCTTGAGGCCCAGATCCCCAGTCTTTGTACTTGTTGCTGGGTGAGGAGAATGGAGGTTCCTTTTGGTACCCAGGTCCAGAAGCAGCCTTTCTTGACAGGAAGACAGAGCACCAGGCTTGGGCCCTGGGGAATTAGGTGTCCTAAGTTCTGATTCCCAGCTTTGCTGTTCCTTAACAGCTCACTTAAAATGTGAGTCTTTAGGGTTGTGGAGAAGACCAGCCAAAGCTCATTATTCTGAGAACAGGTCTCAGCCAGACAGTTTCCTGTTGGCGTAGTGCCTAAGGCATGTGACAGCTAACCAGAAGGCTGACGGTTCAAACCCACCAGCCACTCCTTGGAAGAAAGACTGGGCAATATACTTCTGTAGAGATACCGCCCCGGAAACCCAAGGAGGGGTCTCTATGAGTCAGATCTGAGTTTGGTTCTGGTTTTTGAGAAAAGAAGGTGGAAGGATTTAGGGCTTTCCTGGGTCTGCAGCTGGAGTGGCATCATTCCTTCTTTCCCATACAAGCCGTCAGTCATGGCCACAGGAGCCCCTTTGCATCAGGGGAGATGGCAGATGAATGAGGTTGCCTTTTTCTGGTAATGCTTGCATTCTGATGGTGCCTCCTGGTGACAGGAATGCTCTGTCCAAAGGAATGGTGTTATAATGGTGGCATTTAAGGCAGGGACCATGCTAGCATGGAGGAGAGGCAGGGGATGTGTGGGGCAGCAAGGGAGTTTCCTGAAGATCCTCACATCAACCTGAGATTGGTAGATGATTTTTGCGTGAGCAAAAGAGATTTGCCTAACCTATTACCCTAGATATTCTCCTGCCCTGTTCCGGAGACATGGTCCTCTGCCCAGTACACACTCATACATACAAGTCCTCTTCAGTCTGTGACTCAGTCACCCACATGGCATCCACACAGAGCCTGCTCACTCCCATTCGAGAATGTAAGCTCATGAGGACAAGGTGCTAGTCTGTCTGACTTATCCTGTACTCCTACTCTCCAGAACAGTGCTTGACACATAAATATGTGGTACATAAACATTAGATAAATTAGTTTGTCTCAGGTGACTCTCATCCACAAGCATGTACCCTCAGTCACAGGGATGCTAACCCAGCCTGTGGACACAATCACGGACAACAGAGCAAACAGAGGTGCACAAAGGTCAGGGGCCCTGACACAACTGTGGACACTGTCTCGGAGACCAGAGCACACACAGGTACACACATGTCATGGGTCTTGACCCAACCATGGACATTGTCACAGCCATCAGAGTACACAGCTACATACTGGCCATGAGTTCTGACACAGACATGGGCACTGTCATAGACTGGAGCGTGAACAGGTAGACACAGGACATTGTTTCTGAGCCAACCATGGACACTGCCATGAGCACTGGAGCACACACAGACAGAACATGCATGGGTCCTGACTCTGCTGTGGACACTATCAGGGACACCGAAGCACACTCAGGAGCATATTCCTGTCCCTGCTGTCCCTGCTGTGCTGTACCCCCCACCAGCCTGATTCAAGTTGCCTGGTGCAACTTGTCACCTTTACCAAGCCCTCTTGGCTGGGTCCCAGTACCTTCCAGTCACAGAAACCATTCCTATACCAAGTAGAGGCAGGGACAGGATGGGGCCTGCCAGGGTTCAGGAAGCTGAGGGGTGAAGTGTAGGGACATGATCCTAAGGGTGGCATAGCCCTGCTCTTGGGATTCTGGCTTGAGGGGACCAGGTCCTTGTCCAACAAAAACTCAGCAGGAGGGAATCCCAGCCCCGTGGAGTGAGTGCTGGTCCAAGGCTCCTGGAACTGAGCAGAGAATTCCCAGCCATAGGCCAATGTTTCCATTAGTATGCCTAGGGCAGGAGGCCAGGGTTAGGGGCTGAGGGAGCCTCCTGGGGTGAGAGAGCTGAGGAAGGCTGCCCAGGGTAAAGGATGTGTAGGAAGTTCTGGGAAAAGTGGACCAGTAGACTGGTTCCATCTCTCAGATAGCTAACAAGTCATGATTATCTCTGGCCATCATGCTTGGTAAAGTAGAGGGTCAGCAAAAAAATAAGAAGACCCTCAACAAGATGAATTGACACAGTGTCTGCAACAATGGGCTCAAACATAGCAACAATTGTGAGGATGGCACAAGACCAGGCAGTGTTTCCTTCTATTGTACACAGGGTCACTATGAGTTGGAATCAACTTCATGGCACCTGACAACAACCACCACCTCTGGCCGACAGGCCCTCTGAGCACCATGCTGGCTCCCCTCCTCAGATCCACTCTACCTTGTACTTTCCAGATGCTTAGGTTAACACAGAACTCCTCCTCACACCCCACTGGCCTCCTGCTCCCAGCAGTTAGGCCCTATCCCTAGCAAACTGACCCCTGGGAAGTTCACCCAAGGGCCATGGTGGCTGTGGTGTATGCTGTGGCTGGCAGACGGGGGCCTTTGGACAGAAGGCACAGCCCTGCACACTCCCCTAGCCCTGTCCCTGGCACACTCAGAGAAGCCCTTCCCTTACCAGGCCTCAGTTTCCTACCTATAAAGTGAAGAGCAGTCCATGTGGGACTGTGAGGGCCAGGGAGAAGGTGGAGGAGCAGGCAGGTCTCCCTCTTGCTGCTGGCCCAGACACCCTGATGCACTGTGAGCAGCTGGGCTAGGCCCAGGAGTCTAGGTTCTTGCTCCATCAGTTTAGCTGGGCCTCTGGGTTGAGGATGCTTGGGCACAGGGTAGGCTGTGGTGGTCTGTTGGGGATTCCTCTGCTCCCTGCTCTCTTTTGTCTCCTCTATCCTCACCCATCTCCCTCTTGCTTTTTGCCTCTGAGTCTGGTCCTCTCGCCCTTCTTTTCCATTTCTCTTTTCCCTTTCTGTACTCAGTGTCTTGGCTGGGCATCTCTTTTGCTCCTGTTTTGGCTCTGATCCTTTTCTCTCTACTTTTCCCTGCTCCCTTTCTCTCCTGCTCCCTCCCTCCTCCTCTCCTTCTCTTCTTTTCCCTCTGGACCCTTATCTTCTCCAGGTTAGGCTTCTGCTCCTGTATCTCTCTGGTTATCTGTCTTCTAGACTGCCTTTGAGAAGAAAGTCCTAACTGTCCTCATTTTCCCTACTTGTCCCCAGACCCTTAGCTCCAATTGCTCTCTGGAAGCTTGAGAGTTTCTGGAGCAGAGGCTTCCCAACTGCCTCGCTTTTCTCAGGCCTCCCCTTGACCCAGAGTGAAGGGTGGTTCACAGCAAGCTCTCTGGGCTTTCAGATGGCTCTGTGTCCCCACCAGATGGGGGCTCTGGGACGTCCCCCAAAGTGAAACACTGTGGCAGGGACTGGCTTGTGTGCAGGAGGTCTAGGTCACCCTCTGGCTCTTGGACCTGCAGACACCGGGCCTAATGTCGCCATGGTGTTTGCCTCCAGGGAGGGCAATGTCCACCTGCTGCCATCTGGCCCGCCCACCCCGCCCCATCCAAAGGCCCTGGTTCTGCCCTTGGGAAGGCACCCCCTGAGTTTTGTGTGCAAGGCAGGAACACCTGGATTTCTCTGGCTCCTTGAGTGGGGCCAGCTTGGAGGAATTTCCCAAAGCCTATTAGAGTAGCGCTGCCTCCTGCCTGCCTCCTCTGGCTGGGCAGGGCTGAGGGCGGAGGGAGAGAGACAGGGAGGGGGCGAGGAGGAAGGGAAAAAAAGTTGGCAGTCCGACAGCAGAGCTGTGTCTGCATCCATCGCTGAGGAGGCCCGTGTGGTGTGGGGCGGGCCAAGAGCGAGGAGCGCCTTCCTCCCTTTGTGCTCCCCCCTCCTTTCCTCCCCTCCTGGGCCCTATAAATAGGCCCAACCCAGGCTGTGGCTCAGCTCTCCAAGGGAGTCAGCACCAGGCAGCAGCCTCTAGCCAAGCCCCCCCCCACCAGCATGGCCAGTGAGTTCAAGAAGAAGATCTTCTGGAGGGCGGTGGTGGCCGAATTCCTGGCCATGACCCTCTTTGTCTTCATCAGCATCGGTTCCGCCTTGGGCTTCAATTATCAGGTGTCAAGCAATCAGACAGTGGCCCCGACCCAGGACATCGTGAAGGTGTCACTGGCCTTCGGGCTGAGCATCGCCACATTGGCCCAGAGCGTGGGCCACATCAGTGGTGCTCACCTCAACCCGGCCGTCACACTGGGCTTGCTGCTTAGCTGCCAGATCAGCATCCTCCGGGCCATCATGTACATCATCGCTCAGTGCATTGGGGCCATCGTTGCCACTGCCATCCTCTCAGGCATCACCTCCTCTTTGACCAGCAACTCTCTCGGCCGCAATGGGGTGAGTGGGTTGGCCCCAGGCTTGGGAGGTTCTAGAATGGGACAGAGAAGGCCTTGATCCTACCCCTCTGCCCATTGTCCAGATGTAGACACTGAGGAACTGGGAGGACTAGAGGTTACTGAAGGTCATGCAGAGTGTTGGGGTCAGAGTTGGGGCTGGAACTCAGCTATACCTGCAGCCTGCTTTCTGCCAGGCACTGTGGAAAGCTAAGACTCAGAGAATAATGGTCTTACCAATGTCCCCTGTGGGGCATCTATTACAAGGAATAAGCTTTGCCGGTAGCTAATGCTTGGAGGCAGTTAACCTTCGGGCCAACAGTGCCTTGCTGCTGGGCTGAAGTTTCTTTACCCCTTCAGCTTTTCCTGTGCCACCAGCTGCCTCTTCCTACAGGCCCTGGCCCTGGGGAAACTCTGGCCACTGTTCTCAGCCACCCTGACCCAGGTGCCTGGCTTGGTTGCAGGTAGCCTGCAAGTGTGTGAGCAAGACTTCCCCTTCATCAGTCAGGTAACATAGCCCTAGAAGCCACCACTCCCAGCTGCTGGCACTCACACGTGTCTGCCAAACAAATAGCCTATAAGGAGAAAGCTCTCTCCTGTTCCACTGCCCCCAGGAATGGGACACAGAGACAGGAATGCTTTCTGCGGCAGCTTGGAGAAAATTTTCCTGGATTACAATGTGTGTGTGTGTGGTGGGAGGAGGGGTGGGCAGGATGGAAGGCAAGGAGCTGGGGACACCCTGCCTCCCCTCTGGGCTCTACTCCCAGTCCACAGGGACTATAAGGTGTGGCATGTGTGTATGCATGTGTATGTGTGTGCACGCATGCACACACACACACATGTGTATTCTGGTGTGGGTCCCTAAGCTTGTGTAAGTTTCTAGAAGTGATCCTATGAGTGTGTTGTGAGTGAGTATGAATGTGGGTAAGTTTGTAACTGTTTGAGCCCACTGCTCCTGGCTTTCATGCCATCTGGGCTGGGGTCACTAATGATAAGCAGATGTTGGTGACTGGGTGGCAGCTGCAGAAAAGAATTCCTTGTGGAGCACTTAGCACAGCTAAGTGGCTGTTGGCAGTCGCTGCCTGTTGTCACAGACCTGGGCTTTTCCAGCCCCTCAGCCAAGTGCAAACTCAGACCTAGCTTGGGCCACATGCAACAGGGGGCATTTTGGCCTGAAAGGCTGAGTGAGGGTTAGAGTTTGGAACGGGTGAATGTAGTAGAGGGCCCATGAGGACAGGCAATCCTCGCAAGGAGGGAAGGACACAAAGGAGCAGAGAGAGGAGAAGTCAGATCTAGAGAATAGAGGCTGGTGGGAACTGGGCATAGCAGATGGGTGTGGGGACAACCAGGGAGCCAGCAAGGGCTCCCAGGAGTCAGCACAGCGTGTTTATAGCAGTCATCCTCTTGCTTCTAAGCCAAAGTTCAGACCCTGGTGAAGCTGCTGGGTGAGGGCTCAGAGAGTGTCTGGTACAGAGGGCAGCTGGCATGGCTGTGGTAGAGAGGATTAGCACTTTTTCTGCCACAGTGACACCTTACCTGGACATCTCATTGAGCCAACCTCTGCTCAGCCTAAGATTGAAGATTAGCTCTGTGGCTGGAGTTTAGACTTTAGCCGGAGAAGACGTGGTTGAGATGTGTATAGGGAAAAGAGCTAGGGCAAGCTCCTCTGGGCCTCTGGGCCTCTGGGTCTCAGTCTTTCCCTTGGGACCAGGGCTAAGTGATCTCAAGGAGGGGTCTCTGGGTGGGTCAGACCCGCACTGAAGCTGAGCTGGATGTAATGGGGGTGCGAAGAGGGTCCTCATGGGGAGGGAGCTTGGGCCTTCTCAGGCTGTCTTCTCTTCTCTCTCAAAACATACGTATCTGCTGGCAAAGGTTTTGCTCTCTGCCATGTGGCCATCCCAGGCAGATACAGGGAGGGTGGGGCACTTTCTCTGCCCATCTTGATCTGGCCACACCCTGCTCTGGTGCCGCATGCCCTATCTGGCCTCCCTTACCCAGAATCAGCCCACACCAGAGCTGGGAAGTTGCAGACGGTGCAGGAAGAGGGCCAGCCTAGGGTGGGGTCAGGGAGGCAGGCACTTGAGTTCAAGTCCTGTCTACTACTAACTTTTTGAGTTGCCTTGGAGCTGAAGACCCTTAGGCTCAAAGAGGGGATCCAGGAACTTGACTTTAGGTCCCTTGACATCTCTTGACTGTACCTATCCCACTAGTAGGCCTACTTTGTTCATGTAGTATTTGACCCTTCCCAGGAAGTTCTGGCTGAGAGTGCAAAGGGATGGAACATTATGATGATGTTTTGGGCACTATCCTGTCCAGAGATGGATGCTTGATATCAGGAGTTACATTCCAGAAGTACAAATCCTGGGTCTAGAAAAAGAAAAGTTTTCCCTCAAAGGCTCCCATTGGACACTAAACCCAGGATCTGAAGAGGCCTTGGGATTGGTCTTGATGCCTCAAGAGGCAGAGACTAGCATGCCCAGCAGGTGACACACTCTTTCCTCCATGCTCTTGGGGAGGCTCCACAGCCCCTCTGGCCCCAGGCCCCATCCTGGCCAAAACCTGGGTGGAGTGGGCCATAGGCATGGAGATTTCCAAGAAAAATAGGAAAGTGGCAGGAAGTGGTTGGGGTGAGTCAAGGGGTGTCCCCTGGAGACATAGTGAGGGCAACTTTCTCCTCACTGAGTCAGGACTCAGGATACGCCCTAGAGAAACCATGGCCTCTGTCCAGCCTGCAGGGTCCTGGCCTGTTCTAAGAGCCAAACCCCAATCTTGGCCAAGAGTGAGAGCCTCAGAGGCAAGGGTTGGTGCCCTGGCCTTTCCCTCCCTAAGATCTGTCCCTAGTATCCTGTGTGGCCCCAGTTCTCAGCTGTGAAATAGGGCTGCAACAGGATGTAGCTGGGCTTTAAGAAGTAGAAGACACTGGTTGGCTTGTGAGTCTCGACCCTCTGCTGGCGTTTTTACTCTTCCCTTTGCTGGCTTCCTCCTGTACACTCCTTAAGCACAGCTTGGTCCTACAGGGTCCTGGGTGCTGATTCCGGGATGAGTCAGCCCAGTTCCCTGCCCAGGAAAGCTTACAACCCAGGGCAAGCTAAGCCTGTCCACAGCTGCCTGAGATAGGAGACAGAAGGCAGATGTGATAAGTTGGCTACGGAGCTTCTGGACTTCCAGGATGGGGAGAGCCAGATTTCAGGGAGAAGATGCCATGTGAGCCTGAATGTGGAGAGGGAAGGGGATTCCATAGGCCAGGGGGGCAATGGGAGGCTGTGCCCTGGGAGCTGTTGGGTGTGGCTGGTCTGGGAGTTTGTGGTGAGAAGTTGGACCTCAAATGGGGTGAGGGCTCAGGATTCAAGCCAGTGTCTGTCTGAGTCATGGAGAGGGCTGCATCCCTGGGCTGTCCCAGAGCTGTGATTTCAGTCACTGGGGGCTCAGGCACAGGGCAGATCTACCTTTTCTGGGTGTCTTCTCTTGGCCCTGATGATTCTGAGCTTGACTGCCTGTGGAATGCTTCTACTTGCTGTACCAGGGGCCAACCGCAGTCCTAAACATTTCCTTTCCTTCCCTTGCCCATGACTCAGTTTCCCCAGTTATAATATGAGAGGCCCCTCCTTCCTCCTCCAGAGCTTGAAGGTAGGTTGGGGAAGGGGACGCCAGACTTTTCCGAATCCATGCCCAGCCTGGCCTTCCCAGGGAGAGGCTGATGGCTGGGTAGTAGTGCTTCATCTGGGATATATAATTACTGTTTCCAGCCAGCACCAGATGAGGGGGAGGGTGCAGAGAGAGGTGGGAGTTTTGCGGTGGAGAGTTCCCTCTTGATGGAAAATTCTGATACTATTTTCCTCATTAGAGCATTCAGAGCATCCTAGCCAGCCCTAAGATTGCCCACCCAACAGCTGGCTCCAACCAGAACCCTCTCTAGAAATCTTTGTCTGAAGGGTTGAACCTCTGAGCAGGAAACAAGGCCCTCTGAAGTGCCTCAATCTGAGGGGACATGGCCTCAGGGGATAGAGCCTTATCTCAGCATCCCTCTCATATCTCAACTTACCCTAGACAGCCTTGCTGCAGCATGAGTTGAAGCCATTAGCTCATCACAAGGGAATTCCATGCCATCCTCTCCATCTGGACCATCAGGGCCCGGGCAGTGCTCTCATTTCTCTAGGGCTCCACCCAACAAGGCCCTTCTTTAGTGTTAGCTTCTCAGAACCTTTCCAGGCTAGTCAGACACCCCTGTTCACCCCTTGGAATTGGTTGAGGAAATTTTCCTTGCAAAGGAGGCCCTTTGTTCCAGCCTCCCTGGGAGCCATGGTCCCTGCCCTTTGGAAGCATCCAGATCTGAAATATCCCCAGTGACCAAGCTGTGAGCCCACACACTACCACCTTTCCCATTTAAGCCTTCAGAGCAGGAAAATATTGTCTGTGAAGCCCAGGGGCGACCAGGGTCCCTCAGCCAGTACAGCTCACTGGGAATCAGAGGGACCTCTGCCCGTAATGCCAGCATAGTGCCCAGGGGGCTACATGGAGCGATGGTACAGTAGGCTGGGTATACCCTGAGGCTGAAAATCCTAATTCAAAGATGGTAGAGCTGGAGAAGGCTCCCTTCCCCACCACCAGTTAATCCAGTGACCATAAGCACAGTTTTAGAGCATGGACTCCTTGGGAGACAAATTTCTGCTTAGTGTAAGTTTTTTAATTTTTTTTTTTTTTTTTTTTAAACTGAGAGAGGGCTGCCTCTGAGTCAGTGAGTCCCCTGTCACTAGCTGTGTACCAGTAGAATCTATCTGGCTGAAACTCTTCTGGAGCCTCTGGCTTTGTGGGGTGCAGCAGGGTGGTGGAAGGTTCCCTATCGCATGCTTTGTGCTACATTGAGACCAACAGTTTAGATAGCCTCATAGGAAAACTGAGCTCAAGTTTCTGAATGCTGGCCTGGAGGGGAGTCATGGCTCTTGAGGGTGGAGGAGGTGATCCACACTGGCTTGGGGGCCAGAGCAGCCTGATATCAGGGAGAGAAGAATTCTGGAGACTGTTTGAAGCTAGAATCTGGGCCTGCTCCCATTTTACTGATGGGGAAACTGAGGTCCACAGAGGAGTATAGACTTGTGGGAGGTTGCTCAGAGGGTCATGGCAGGACTATGGCCCAGCTTCCTGCCCCCCAGCTCTTATTATTTCTGTTGCTTCACAATACATGCACTCACGCCACACATGCATACACACACATACACATACATATAGCTTATACATGCGTGCCATGTACATGCACACAAGGGGCACACATGTAGGGGCATAGCATATTCTCAAGTCCCAGTGGTCACACTCAGGTCCTGGGACCCATAAGGTGGAGTGTGACTCCTCCACAGAGCCTCTTCCTTTCTGTGGTGGGAGGGATGGGCTGTCCTGGACTAAGGAAAAGGAGGGAGGGAGGGAAGGAGGAAGCCATTGCTTTGTGTATTGTTTCTTGTCAGGAAGAAGAAATGACTTCTGGGAGCAAATAAAGAGCCCTTTGAGACCCGCTACTCTCTTGCTTAAGGGGGCCCTCCTTGTCCCTCTCTCCCCCTAGTCAATGTAGGCACCTTCCTAGGGATGTGACACATAGGGATATGGTGATGTACTCAGAAATGCCGTTAGGTGTGCAGACACAAACACACAGCTGTGGTCATCACACATGACCTGTGTCACCCATGACACAAGCCACACAGAGCTCCTGGCATACCAGAGACCTGTGACATACTACACAGAGACCCCCAACATATCACATAGAGACCCCTCAACATATCACCTCTGACATATCACACAGTGTCTCTATTTTGCCAAGGAACAATATCCTGTGTGATAGCAATTCTCAGAGACAGCTGATGTTTTTGGCCAGTACATAATTAGTTTGTCTAATTGTCCCACCTGTGGTTCTAATTTGGGGGTGCAGAGTTCTGCATATTTTCCTTATATCAAATTTGTTGATTATGTGCTTCAAATTCTCTTTGTTTATATTATTCTGCTTCATTCTACCAGTTTCTGAAAGAGAGTCATTAAAATCTTTCACTCTGGGAATGGATTCATCAAATTCTCCTCATAACCTCATCAATGTTTGTGCCATTTTTCAGGCTACATTGTTAAGTGCATATAGGCTGAGGATTTTTATAGCTCTTGGATATATTTTTCATTTATTTATAGTGCTATAAGCTTGTAAATCTATACTTAAAAGGAAAAAGAGATGCACACTCAATTGGATGTATGTGGTTATGCACACACACAGCTACACCAGGCACTGATCTACGAAAATGCAAAAATCCATGGATACACAGAGGCACATACACAAATGAATGAATATCCATGGAGGCAGTTACCTAAACACAGAGTGATCCACTAAGGTTGCCCTGCTGCGCATTGCTGAGTCCTGGAAATGCTGGGGCAGGTGGGGCAGGTCTTGGTATCTATTGTTCCCTATTCCTTGATAGAGGATGTTCAGAGCCTCAGCCAGGGTAGGGTGCCAACATGCCTAAGCCAAGGCAGGGGCCCTGGACCTTATGTGCTGCAGAAAGGGTTTGGGGGCACATTGCCGGAGGAGGTCAGTCTTGAGCTGTTCTTGAGCATGGGACATGCTGGCAGCCACAGAGCCACCTTTTGCCAGCTCTCAGTTCAGATTGGGAAGAGCCAAGTCCCTTGGCTGGCCTATGGGTAGGCAGTGCCTTAGCCTGTGAGTGTGGGGAAGCAAAGACACCTGGGGCAGGAAGATGCTGAATAAGTTGCATTCTTTCCCAGGCCTCAGCCTCCTCATCAGTGGTGTCATCAAGCCCTTGCCTGGGCTCCCTATGAGGCCCAGAGTGGCTGAGTACGGCCCCAGATCTCCCAGGCTGGGGTCCAGAGTGTTTGCCTCCAAAGGCTGCCTCTAGAGAGGATGGGACTTCTAGAAAAGTAGCCTCCTCTGACCACACAGCTGAGCCTCTCCTAAGAGCTCTGGGCAGGGAAATTGTGAAGGTTCCTCTTTCCTGTCCTCACTGAGCTTCCAGGCCAGGGGTGGGGGATTAGGCATCGACATTCCGGGCAGGAAGATTACTTTCCTACAAGAGATACAGACAGTTCAGTGAGGGCATGGAGGCAGAAGTTAATTCAACTCCAGCTAGGGAACCAGAACAACTTCTTAGAACTTGCTGTTGTTGTTAGGTACCTTAGTGTCAGCTCTGACTCATGGCGACCCATGGTGTACAACAGAATGAAACACTGTCTGATCCTGCACCATCCTCACAATCCTTGCTATGCTTGAACCCATCACTGCAGCTACTGTGTCAATCCATCCTGTTGAGGTCTTCCCCTTTTTCACAGATCCTCTACTTTACCAAGCATCATATCCTTCTCCAAGTCTAAACTGGGCCTTGAGCAGTGGGTTTAAGTGGGTTAGGTGGCAAACAGAGAGCTTCTAGTCTTTATGATGCTTCAGATTAAAGATGTGAATTATGCTTTTGTTTTCATTGTACTCACCAGATTGTTACGGTTTCGGGCCTTTACCAGTGATATATAAGATCTGGGACAAGCAAAACTACCTAGGGATGTGCAAACATGTTCTTTTTTTCAATAGCAAGGGACCACAACTAGGATTGGCTCAAATTAAGTAGTAGTTCACTGTTAAAGGATTGTTTTTTCTGGGCACTAAGTTTCAACAGATTTTATTACCACTTTCAATTCTGAATTAGCTAGTTTTTCTAGATGTAAGAGAATGCAAGTGTATGTGATGCTCAAAGGAGAGGAGGTCAGTCAGTAGACTCTACAGCAACCAGAAAAGCCTTCCTGATGGTGGTGGTGGATTGGAAGAGAAAGGTTGCCAACCCATGTGGCTCTAAGCAAAGAGCTCTGGGCAGTCAGGAAGGGGGAACCACCCGGAGTTCCCAGAAGAGGTGGCCGACCTCTCTTCTACCTGGGGCTCAGAGCTCTGAGCCTGGTACAAGCCTCCTTCCACTCCTCCCTCCCTATGCTCACTTTGCAAGAAAAGATGTGCCTCTGGGTAGGGATTGGGTCTCTTAGACCTGCAGGAGGAGATGAGCTCCCGAGGCCACAATGGTGACAGAACCCATGAGAGAGGCATGAGAGAGGCAGGGAGTCTGAGGCTGGCTTTAGCTATGTGGAGGAGCCACTTACTCTGGACTGCCGCCAGCCAGCAATTAGGCCCACCCTGGAGAGCAGAGGAGAGAGGAGAGAAGCTGCCAAAAGCTTCCTGATCGCTCAGACACAATGAGTAGCAGGACTGACAGGTGGTAGTAGTGGGGCATCAAAGCAGTCCCCCAGACCCCAGCTTCACCTGCATGGAGCTGCCTCCACTGCAGACAGCCTCTCCCAGCAGCCCCAGCTACCCTCACTCCCCTGAACTGCCCCCAGAAGAATTTATTCTACCTCTTTCCCTCTACCAGTCCCAAATCCTGTGGGTGTGATGAGAAGGAACTGGAGCAAGAGCTCTTTCCAAAAGTCTGGAGACATTCCAATTACCTTTGAACCACCCAACTGCTCTGGAGAGTGGGCAGGGGAAGGTAGATCTATTTTCCAGATGGTGAAACTGAGGACCAGCAAGGAGAAAGCACTTGCCTGTAATAACAGAGCCAGCAAGTAGAAGGCAGAACCTGAACTCAGGGTTCCTGCCTCCATGGCCCAGCCTGGGGGTCAAAAGAAAACTGTCCAGTGGTTTGGTGGACCTGAGGCACACAGCTCTTGGGGTCCATCAAGAAAGGCCCAGAGCTGGGGCTTCGAGGCAGGAGAGGAGATGTGAGTTATTTTTCCTGTAACCAGGGCGGCAAACAAAGGCGAGAAGAGAATTGTTCTATAACATGGCCTCAGGGTGGGGCCAGGCAAACCCCTGGAGGGGTGGAGACATGCCCTTACCTAGGATTCTACAAAATACTCTAGGTCTTGGGAGTACCCTCATGCTCTCAGGGTGGGAGGTGGAGGGTGAGACTTCCAGCTTAGGCTGTTTTGTCCACACCAGCCCTCCTGCCCCGGAGAAGGCAATGTAGGTGGCCATATCCGGGCATCTTTGCAAGTGGGCTTTTTGCCAACTTGGTCTGATTACTCTATGCTGGATGCACCTGGCCTGGGACTCCTACGTGGAGGTGGGTACAGGGTGTCCCAGGAAGGGTCCTGGTGCAGCTGCAGGCGGGCCTTGGGATCTCAGCAGCTCCCATTCCCTTCTTTTTCCATGAGTCATGTTTCTAAAAGTGACCCAGGAGTGAGTGGCAGCCAGAAGGTGATGGCTGGGGCCAATGTGGCCAGAGAGAAGGAGGGAGGGGTCCAGATCAAGAGGGAGGGAGAGACATGGAGACAGAGAGGGCAGGGCCAAGAAAGAATGGGAGAGAGAGACATTGGATGGGGGAGAAAGAGATAGAGGTGGGGAAGGAGAAACAGAGGGAAAAGGCAGCCAGGAAGATGGGCTCAAGGGAAAGGACAGAAAGAGCTGGGGAAGAGCTAACTGAAGAAGCCCTCCCCTGGCTTTGGGATTTTGTGATGGAGCAGAAGATGAGGTCGAATATACTGGACTTGGGGGTGTAAGCAGTGTTCCAGCTGTGCCCTCCACCCACTTGCTGCTCCTTCCATTCCTGAGGTTTGGCCCCTCCCCCATGACCTTGGTACCCTGGCCTGGAGAGGAAACCCCCAGCATACCCCAGGCCTCTCTGACCTCTAGGCAGATGGGGCAGGATCTTGGCAGGCACTAGGGATGGAGCTTCATCTACAGGTGGGGTGAGGGGACAAGGCTGAACTCCAGATGCTTGACTGCTGTTTGCTGTGTTGCTTGCTCAGGGCCTGACCGCTCTGGGTGATGAGAGGCTACTGTGACGGGCTCTGAACATGTGTGGGGTCTGGCCTTCGGTGCCAGGGGCAACACAGTCCCGCCTGCCCTACTCACCAGGCCACCTGTTTCCCTGCAGCTGACGGCTGGTGTGAACGCAGGCCAGGGACTAGGCATCGAGATTATCGGCACCCTGCAGCTGGTGCTGTGCGTCCTGGCCACCACTGACCGTAGACGTCGTGACCTTGGAGGCTCAGCTCCCCTGGCCATTGGCCTGTCTGTGGCACTGGGACATCTGCTGGCGGTGAGTGAGAGGCCTTCCCAGGTGGGGGTTGGGGAAATGGCACAGAGCAGCTCAGGGGACTAGAGGAGTGGGCCTTAATGTAGGCAGAGGATGGGACCTCTGACAAGATTCATGCCATGGGCTGGGGGAGTGGATGGCAAGTCCTCTCCTCAGGGCTGGGAGACTGGCGTCCTCCTCCAGATGGGGAGGCACAAGGGCCTTGTGACTACTTTTCTGGATCAATGTCCTCTCTTTCTGGGTCTGGTCATTCCTTACCCCTGCCTCTACTGATTTTTATTTTTTATTTTTTGCCTTCTCTCCCTCCATCTCTTCCACCTCCTACTATGCCTCCTTCTTTCTGTGTCTTTCTGTATCTCTCCCTGGCTCTCCCTCATCCTCCTTTCTCACTTTCTCTTCATCTTTATTTCACTGCCTCTAATCTTTCTCTCAATCTCATTTTCCTCTTTGCTGTCCCTCCCTCTCTTCCTTTCTGTCTGTCTCTCTCCTCATAGATCGACTACACTGGCTGTGGCATTAACCCTGCTCGGTCCTTCGGATCCGCAGTGATCACCAACAACTTCACCGATCACTGGGTAGGTGTTCTTGGGGCTACCCAGCAGAAGGGGGTTTGAGGCTTTCCACCAATCTGGCAGCCTGACTCTTCCAGGAGCTGCTTTTCTCCATCATGGGGACTTGGAGACAGCTGGGAAGAAGTGCTGTGACTAATGCACTGATAAGGAAACTGAGGCCTGAGATGAGGGTGAGGTCAGGTCACATAGCCACCTGGTTCCATGCCATTCCAGCAGCATGGCTGAGAGTGTGGGTCCTGGCTGTGCCATGTTCCAATTTCCAGAGAAGGCTGCCCACCCTCTTAAGCCTTCATTTCCTGAGCCGTGTAATGGGGATATGGTGGAACCTACCTCATGGGGCTGCTGGGGGGATGACAGGAGCGAGTACCACAAACTGAGCTCCACACTTCGCATAAGCTTAATGGATTTTAGCTGTTGTAGATATTTTTGCTTCAGGCCAAGCTTTTATCAAAGGAAGTCATTTCTGTGGTTGTTGTGTTACCTATATTTTTACAATATAAACACACATATACACATATCTGAACAAACAAAAATAAGATTCCTGTCTCTGTGGCCCTATTGAAGCTGGAGTGGGCAGTGACTACCCTCAAAAAGAAGCTAGTACTGACCAGGCTAGGCCCCCTATGCTGGGCCACACAGAGCCAGGGAGATAGATGTCCACGACCATAAACCATGGCCTGGAGGTAGTTCTGGGGCAGCTGAGACCAACATGCTTATTAAGGCAAAAAGAAGTCTTAGAGAAGCCTTCTCATTCATGCTAAAGTGCTGACATCTTGTGATTAAAGACCACAAAATCCTCCCTCAGCCCAAATATCTCCTATTCCCCATTGCCGCTTCTTCTTCCTTCCAGCAGCCATCAATTCAATTCCTACTCATGGAGACCCCATGTGGGTGTCAGAGTGGAACTGTGCTCCATGGAATTTTCAGTGGCTAATTTTTCAGAGGTAGATCATGAAGCCTTCCTTCTGAGCTGCCTCTGGGTGAACTTGAACCTTCAACCTTTCTTTCTTTTCTTCTTTTTTTAAATTTTCATTGTGATTTGGGTGAAAGTTTATAAGAGCAAATTCATTTTTCATTCAGCAGTTCACACACACTTTGTCTCATGACATTGACATCAATTTCCCACAATGCAACAGCTCTCTTCCCACTTCCTCCCCATAGTTTCCTCTTCCCTGTGTCCTTCCCTCCCATTCATTCCTGCCCCCTCCCTCCTGAGTAGTCTCCCTGTGCATACACAGGCCTTCTATTCTCCCATGATTGATCTCTCCAAGGAGTGTATCTACCTAATGTAGATGTTCAGCTCATATGCCTGTCTTTTGTTTGACTGGAAACCACAGGAGTGGGTTCATTTCCAGACCTGAAGAGCAGCTAGGGGCCATAGTCTCAGGGGTTCCATCAGGCTCTATCAGACCAACAAACCTGGTCCCTTTTTTTTTTTTTTTTTTTTTAATGACTTTGAGCTTTGTTACACATTGTTCTCCCACACTGTCCAGGATCGCCTATGTAGATCCCCCTCTGAATGGCTGACAGTGGCAGTTGGGTACCATCTAGTTCTTCTGGTCTCATAGTTGTATAGGCTGAGGATTGCATGGTGTACCAGTCCCTTGGACTAATTGTTTCCATGTGTCCCTGCTTTTCTTCATTCTTCTTCGCTCTGGATTAGAGAGACCCATTGTTGCATCTAGATGTCTGCTTGCAAGCTTTTAAGATCCCAGTCGTTACATACCAAAGTAGGATGTGGAACAATGCTTTTGTGTAGTATGTTATGTCAATAGAGTTTTATGTCCCCTGTGACTATGGTCCTGAGCCCACAGGCTCCACTACTACTCCCTCTGGGTAGCTGACTGTGGCCAAGAAGTGAATATAACCTTGTCCCTTGTCAGTTCTATTATATACCTGGAAATTCTCACAGAATACACAAATACACTTGTAGAAACATTGTCTGCCAACCCTATACATGGTCATGGGCACACTCCCCCTTGCATAGACATACCTAACATTTCAGCCTGTCCACCTATCTATCCACCCATAAATCAATGTTTGCCATTACTGGCAATACAGTACTGTATGTGCAAAAGGGTTCATCTTTGTTGTCTGTACCTCCCATGCACCTCTCTCTTAAATTTACATTAGGTAGATACACTCCTCTTCCTCAATGCCACCATGTTGATCACTCACATTTGATACATTGCCCTTCCTTTCACCCAAATCAATACTTGTCTCTACCTATCTAGCACTGTTCCCTTCCCACCCCTCCCCCCCGATAATGAACGAAGAAAATTTCCTTCCATATATAAACCTTTTCTTGATTTTTTACAATAATAGACTAATACAATATTTGTCCTTCTGCAATTGACTTATTTCACTCAGCATAAAATCCTCCAAGTTCATTCTTGTTATGTGGTGTTTTGCAGATTCTACATTATTCTTTAGGGTTTCTTAGTATTCCATTGTGTGTATGTACCATAGTTTTGTTATCCATTCTTCTGTTGATGTGCACCTAGGTTGTTTCCATCTTTTTGGTATTGTAAATAATGCTGCAATGAACATGGTGTGCATATATCTGTTCTTGTCCTGGCTCTCATTTCTTTAGTATATATACCTAATAACAGAATGGCTGGGTCAAATTGTATTTCTAATTCCAACTTTTTAAGGAATCGCCATACTGCTTTCCACAGTGGTTGTACCGTTTGACAGTCCCACCAGCAGTGTATGAGCATCCCAATCTCTCCACATCCTTGTCAACATTAGTTATTTTCTGTCTTGTTGAACTTTGCTACTAGTACTGGGCAAGATCGTATCTCGTTGTTTTGATTTGCATCTCTCTAATGGCTAATGATTGTGAACATTTCTTCATGTGTTTGTTGGCCACCTGAATATCCTGTTTGGTGTCTATTCATGTCTTCTGCCCATTTTTCAGTTGGATTATTTGTCTTTTTGTTGTTTTTCTATAAATTCTAGCGATAAGTCCCTTGTCAGATATGTCATTGCTGAATATTTTTTCCCAATCTGTAGGTTCTCTTTTTACTCTTTTAGAGAAGTCTTTGGAAGCACATAAAAATTTAATTTTTAGAAGGTACTATTTATCTAGTTTATCTTCTACTGTTTGTGCATTTTGGGTTATGCTTGATAGTCTATTTATGCCATATATACCAAACCAAACTCACTGCTGTTGAGTCGGATCCACCTTATAGCGACCCCTCTTTGGGTTTCCAAGGCAGTATTACTATGGAACTAGATCACCCAACCTTCCTTCCAAGGAGTGGCTGGTGGGTTTGAACTGCCAGCCTTCTGGTTAGCTAGCAGTCAAGTGCCTGAGGCACTATGCCACCAGAGCTCCTCAGTTTTGGCAGCACCATTTGTTAAACAGGTATTCTCTTCTCCACTTAATGGATTTCAGTGCTTTGTCAAAGATCAGCTGACCCTAAGTCAATGGATCTATTTCTGAGTTCTCAAATCTATCTCATTGGTCTATGTGTCTGTCATTGTACCAATACCAGGCAGACTACTATGACTGTATAGTAGGTTTTGAGATCCGGTGGTGTGAGACCTCCTACTTTGTTCTTCTTCTTCAGTAGTGCTTTGCTTATCTGAGGTCTCTTTCCTTTCCATATAAAGTTAGAGGGTTGTTTTTTTTTTTTTTGTTTTTTAAAGAATGTTGATGGGATCTGGTTTGGGATTGCATTGAATGTATAGTATAGATTGCTTTGGGTAGAACTGACATTTTGACAATGTTCAATCTTCATATCCATGTGCATGGTATGTTCTTCCATTTATGTAGCTTTCTTAGGGTTTCTTGAAGTAGTCTTTTTTTAGTTTCTTTTGTTCAGGTCTTTTGTGTCCCTGGTAAGATTTATTCCCAAGTATTTTATTTTTTTGGTAGCTATCGTAAATGGTATTGATTTCTTTATTTCTTTTTCAGCTATCTCTTTGCTGGTGTAGAGGAATCCAACTGATTTTTGGATGTTGATCTTGTATCATGGCACTATGCTAAATCTCACAATTAGTTCCAGTAGGTTTTTTTTTTTTTTTTTAATTTTTTCAGAATCTCTTGGGTTTTCTAGGTATAGGATCACATCATCAGCAAATAGGGGTAATTTTACTTCTTCCTTACCAATTTGGATGCCTTTGATTTCCCTTTCTTGCCTTATTGCCCTGGCTAGGACTTCTAATACAATGTTGAGTAGAAGTGGTGATAGAGGGCATCTTTTTCTGATTCCTGTTGGCAAGGGGAATGGTTTCAGTTTATCTCCATTGAGAATAATGTTGGAAGTTGTTTTTGCATATATGCCCTTTATTATATTGAATAATGTTCCTTCTGTTCTTGTTTTGCTGAGAGTTTTCATCAGAAATGGGTGTTGGATTTTATCAAATGTCTTTTCAACATCAATTGATATAATCATGTGGTTCTTTTCTTTTGTTTTATTTATGTGATGGATGATGCTGATTGTTTTTCTAACATTGAACCATCCTTGTGTACCTGATATGAACCACACTTGGTCATAATGAATTATTTTCTTGGTATGTTGTTGGAGTCTATTGGCTAGGATTTTGTTGAAGATTTTTGCATCCATATTCATGAAGGATATTGGTCTGTAGTTTTCCTTTTGAGTGATGTCTTTGCCTGGTTTTGGTATCAAGGTTTTTTGCTTCATAAAATGAATTTAGGAGGATTCCATCCTTTTCTATGCTTTGGAATAGTTTGTGTAGGATTAGTGTCAGTTATTCTCTGAACGTTTCATAGAATTCTACAGTGAAGCTGTCTGGGCCAGGACATATTTTTTTGGTAATTTTTTTTTTATGACCTGCTCAATTTCTTCTTTTGTTATGGGTCTGTTCAGCTTTTCCACATCAGTCTGTGTTAGTTTAGGTAAGCAGTGTGTTTCTAGAAATCTGTCCATTTCTTCCAGATTTTCAAATTTGTTGGAGTACAGTTCTTCATAGTATCCTGGTATTATCATTTTTATTTCAGTTGATCCTGTTGTGATGTTACCCATTTCATTTCCTCTTCATATTATTTGTATTCTCTCCCTCTTTTCCTTTGTTAAATTTGCCAGTGGTTTGTCAATTTTATTAATCTTTTCAAAAAACCAACTTCGAGTCTTGATGATTTTTTCTATTGTCTATTTTCTGTTTCATTGATTTCTGCTCATATCATTATTATTTCCTTTCTTCTGGTGACTGTAGGTTTCTCTTGCTGTGCTTTTCTAATTGTTGGAGATGTTGATTTAAAGTGTTGATTTTGGCTCTTTCTTCTTTTTGATGTGTGCATTTATTGATATAAATTGGCCTCTGATCACTGTTTTTTCTGTGTCCCCAAGATTTTGGTATGTTGTGTTTTCATTCTTATTTGATTCAAGGAATTTTTTAATTTCATTTTTCATTTCTACTATTATCCAGTCATTCCTAATGAGGGTGTTGTTCAGGTTCCATGTGTTTGCTCTTTTTTTGTTGACCTTCCTATTGTTGATTTCTAATTTGATAGCATTATGATCTGAGAAGATGTGTTTTTAAATTTATTAAGACTTGTTTTATGGCCTAACCTATGGTCTATCCTGGAAAATGTTCCATGTGCACTGGAAAGAATGTATATTGTGCTGTTGTTGGGTGGAGTGCTCTGTAGATGTCTATAAGGTCAAGTTGGTGGATTGCATTGTTCAGTTCATCTGCATCTTTGTTGAGTTTCTTTCCAGTTGTTGAACCTTCAAACTTTCTGTTAGCAGCCAAATGCATTAACTGTTTGTACCATTTGCCATATTGTTGTTAAGTGCCATCTAGTCAGCCCCAACTCATACTGACCCTATATACAACAGAATGAATCACAATCTGTTCCTGTGCCATCCTCACAATCCTTGCTATACTTGAGCCCATTTTTGCAGCCACTGTTTCTGTCCATCTTATTGAGGGTCTTCCTCCTTTTTGGTTACCATCACTTTACCATGCAGGATATCCTCTAGGGAATGGTGTCTGCTGACCAAAGTAGATGAGATGAAGTCTGGCCATTCTCACTTCCAAGCAGCATTCTGGCTGCACTTTTTCCAGAACAGATTTGTTTGTTCTTCTGACAGTCCATGGTACTTACAGTATTTTTTGCCAACACCACAACTCAAAGGCATCAACTCTTCTTCAGTCTTCCTTATTCATTGTCCAGCTTTCACATGCATATGAGATGATTGAAAATACCATGGCTTGGGTTAGACACACCTTAGTTTTAGGTGTCCAAAGTTCTACCCTTAGTGCTTCATGCTTTGAGATTCAGCATCGCCCACCTCTCTGCCATGCCTCATTGAGAAGTTCAAAAGAACCCCTCTAATATGGCAGTGGGGGAGGGAGGAAAGCTGGGGAAGTTTTCCAAGGATGGGGGAAGACCATGTGTCCTCTGAGAAGGCCTGTTCTACTTCTAGATTTTCTGGGTGGGGCCATTCATCGGAGGAGCACTGGCTGTGCTGATCTACGACTTCATCCTGGCCCCACGCAGCAGTGACCTCACAGACCGCATGAAGGTGTGGACCAGCGGCCAGGTGGAAGAGTACAACCTGGATGCGGATGACATCAACTCCAGGGTGGAGATGAAGCCCAAATAGAGGGGGGACTGGCCCAGGCATCCACTGTGGGGGCAGGGGGCAGGGGCAGGGCAGAGGGAGGGGAGGGGTGAAATTATATTGTAGACACTCTGACAAGCTGGCCAAAGTCACTTCCCAAAGATCTGCTAGACCTTTAAGGTCAAGCATAATTTTGGGATGTTCCTGTCACTTTCTTTCTCTTTCTCTGTTTCTGGCCTCAGGGCTTCCTGAGGACCAAGATTTACCAATCATCCACTCCTTTGAAGTAATGGAGGAGGTGAGAGAGAGGGACTTGCCTGCTAAATTGTTCCCTCAGGGTGTGATGGGAGGTGTGCCAGAAAGTCCTCCTTCATCCTAAAGTTGCTCGTGAACTCACCTGCCACAGGTGCCTGGGGTTCCACCATTACTGCTTTGGACCATTGGGTCAAGGGCCTCCTTCTCCCAGCATGCACTCTGCGTGTGCTTTGACGGGAGAGATTGTAGGCCATGAAGTGGTAGGGGCCAGGTTGCATACAATTGTCCTTTTCCGTTTAGCTTGCTCCTAGGGTCATCCCTTTTTTGGACTGGATGCATGCCCTAAGGATCTCCCCTATCTTGGGGCTTCAGTGATCCCATCTGCACAATGGAAAAGTAAGGGAGGGCTACGTGGTTCTGAGGTCCATCTCTATGTTTCTCTAAGCATAAACACACCATGGATTCTAGAAGATATAATCTAGACCAGCACTGCTTCTTCCACTTGCCCTGTGTTATTCTCAGAAGTACATAGCTGTATTTACACACATATGTGTACATGTGGGCCACACATACATATTTCAAAGCATTGACTATCAGGCAGTCTAGGTCATGGAAAGTCCAGGTAATGACCACTATGGAGTGGCTGCACAAGACCATGAAGGCCATTTAGAGAGTGAAGGAGGAAGACCAAGTTTCCTTAATAGAATTTCAGTTGGTCTTTTCCACCTACCACTGCATCATCTTGGTAATGATTTCAGTTCTCCTCTTGCCAGCATAGCATAGGTTGCCATTATCCATGTGCATGTGTGCTTATTAAAGGGCAGTTGGGTTATCTGAAGCCCCAAGACTGAGGACAGAATGGCTCTGATGAGGATCAGCCCATGGAGGCCGATGCCCTCACTGGATGTAGAGGGAGTCCCCAAGTACACAGGTGATCCTGAAGGGGAGGAGCAAATCTCCTGTTGGTTAAAGGCTTTGGGGCAGTGGGCAGCCTACACCAGTTCCTTGAGTGATGCCAGCAACAGCCTGTCCCTCCTAAATCATCAGGAAAGGAAGTCAGCCTTGACAAAATGAGGTTCACTACTGGTGCAGCCCAAGGGCAGTTCAGAGCCTTGCGTCTGCTTGGGGCCTGGATTCTTCAGCTCAACTTTCTCCACAAGTCCATTCATTCCACCAGGGCCAGAGCAGTTCGACCGCCTGTGACTCGAGCCATGATGGGGAGGAAAACCAGGAGACGCAATTGACCAGGAGGCCCTTAACAGGCACCAACACAGCTTGACAGCTACACATTCTCTTCTCCATTATCTAGCAGGGACTTATAGCCCATTTAACAGATAAGGAAACTGAGGCCCAAGGTCCCACAGCTAGATAATGGTGTGGCTGGACTGAGCAGCTAAGGTCATGTCTGGCTACAATGTGGACCGTGAAATTGACTTTGCTCCTTCCCAGTTTCTAGGTTCCTGCCTAGGCAAAGAACAGAGGCCAGGAGGAAAGGAGAGATGGAGGGGAGAGAGTGTAGAATTTGCTTCTGCCTTGTTTTGCCCACGACGTACAGGATCTTGCATCTGTCTGCTCTGCATATGTGTCTCTCTGGAATTGAAATTTCATTCTATGTTAAGGAAATAAAGGAAAATGACTTGTAAGGTCCTCCAGCTTCTTGCAGTTTTCTATTTTTGGTAACATCCCCACAAGGGGCCCCTGGATCTGAGAGAAGATTGGGTCCTAGTCCAAAGGGCCCAGTCTGAGGGGAGCCACTGCCTGCCACATCCTACAAGCTTATCTGAGGGGCATAAGGTCCTGCCCAGGGGAGCTCCAGTCTGAAGGGAGGCATGGCTCTGCCCTCATAGCCCCAATTAGGGATACTTCCTGGGCCCAGTGGGATGACTTTGGGGATCTGTGCGAATATGAACCAGTTTAAATGGGGTAATGGGGAGCCATTTTTGATTCTGGAGTATAGAAGTGATGGGATAAAGTAGGATTGAAGTCTCACAGCCCTAGAGAATTCCAAAGACTTCCCAGGCCTCTTTCCTTCTCTTGCTCCATCACACTTTCCAACCCCACTTTGTACCTACATTAGGCACTAGAGCCCACTGGCTAGGCCCCAGGGAGCTCAGTCTCACTGAGGAGACAGATTTGCCCATTAGATTTGAGTGACATTAATGCTGTGTACAGGTGTTCACAATGTGCCCTGGGTTGGGTGGCCAAAGGAGGCAAATGACTCTGGTTGTAGAGCACCAAGAAGAGCTTCACAGAGGCCATGGTGCTTATCTCGGTCATGATAGTGATCTCTAGTAAGCTAAGAGGGGAAGAGCAATTTAGTCCTTGGGTTCTTAACCTTGAGGGACTCAGGGTTCCCTGACTCCTGAGATCATATACCACCTTCTGTGAGAATGTCCATTTCTCTGTGGAGGGTCTGTAGCCTTCATAAGACTCCTAAGGGGTCATCCTAGGCATAGAGAATCTGAGAACGGAGGTCAGAGTGGCCTAGACTGTGTCCTAAGAGTGGCAGGAAGCCCATGAAGAGAAGGGGCCTCTCAGTGCCGCTCCTGCCTTGACACCTGTCCCTGTGTAGCTCCAAGGCCTATGTGGACTGCAAGAATCTGATCAACAATCTTGAGCCCACACAGCCCCTTCCCACTCATGGTTTTCTGAGAATTGGGGCCACATCAGGCATAGGTGTCATCATCAACAGAGGAGGGAGTGGATACTCAGAGACAACATGGGTCCTATCCAAACTCACAGGGCAAGTTTATATCAAGCTGAGACTTAGACCTGGGCTTTTGATCCTCTTCCCTTCTCCCTTCACACACACACACACACACACACACACACACGCACACACAAGGTTATATTCAAAACAAGGCCAACCACATTGGGAAATTGAGTGTCTGAGAATGTGGAAGGGGCCATGGGCAGGCTTGTGCCTCCACTGAGGCCTGGTGTCTGAGAGGCTCCGAGAGCCACCAGTCTTCTGGAAATCTTACTAGACCACACAGGCAGGTGTTGCTATGAGTGTGGACTGAACAGAAGAGAGATGTTTGGGAAAATCCTAACCCACTATCCACTAACACTGTTCCTGTTCTGGAGGGCTTGACTGATGGTCATAGGAGTTATCTCATTCCATAAGGGCCCAGCCAGTGTTGGGGATAGAGGCTAGGTTACTCCAGTGAAGTTCCCTCAGTTCTCACTGTGGGTTCTGGCCACCTATCCCAACCCTTGCTCATCTGCCCCTAACCCACCCCACCCTAACCCCATTCCAATGCTTCTAGAATCCTAGTGTCAAGAGGCAGGGTCTGAAGAAGAGGGTAGGAACTCATATTTCTTGAACATCTACTATGTGTGAGGAGCCTACTTGGGACTTTACATATATTCTCTTTAATCTTTTCAGTATCCTTGTAAAGAAAGATGATTGCCCCATTTATGGAGGATGCTGAGGACCCTAAAGATGAAATTATTGGCTCAAGGCCACATAGGAGGTTAGTGACAGGATAGGAGTTTGAACTTATTTCTACTTTGTTTCACAGCTCTTTTCTCTCTGTGGTGTTGGCCTACTGTGACCTGCACTAGCTTAGCTCTGGGCCAGTCTGGCAGCCAGGTTTCCTCTGCCCAGAGTGAGAGGGAGGAGGATAGTAGGAGAATGACCAGTTCAGAAGCTCCCAGCATCAGGAGAAGCTATGTTCATTCCAAGGTCAGCTGGATGTGGTGTCTTCTTGAGACACATTGGCATCACATGGCTCAAGTGCCTAAGCCTACTTCCCTGGTGCTGGTCTTACCTTACCCTCCACAGTGCTCTCCAAAGCCTGGCTACCCCTTCTCTGTGAGGAAAACGTGTGATGAACTTGCTCATCTGGCAGTTGTCCTTTCCTACCAGAAGTGTACGGGAAGGGAAGGGTCAATGCTGCACTTTAAGGAATAGTTATGCACTATATGATACCCAAGGAGTTCTGGTAGCATAGTGCCTGAGGCACTTGACTGCTAACCAGAAGGCTGATGGTTCAAACCCACCAGCCACTCCTCAGAAGGAAGGTTGGACAATCTACTTTCGTAGTGATACCACCTTGGAAACCCAAAGAGTGGTCCCTATGAGTCAGGTCCAACCGACGGCATGTAACAACAACAATATGATACCCACTCAGGTCTTGGGGTAATAGCTTTAAGGCTGGGACTACTCCACACTCTCTCTTGTCTTCCAGCCCCAGGACCATCCCTGTCTCTGTTTTGCTAATGTTCAGACGAGCCTAGTACAGAGAGAAGTTTTGGTAAATAACTGGGACTAAAATGGAGTTCCTTGGACCACAGAAGCTCTTTTCTATTTCATTCATCAAATTTAATGGAGAGAGTAAATTTCCTGAAAACTTCCATGTTTCCCTTGTCTCGGGCTTCTGAGCATTCCAGAGACTGCACATATGAGACCCTTTGGTGGCAAGGGTACATACATCACCCCTCTCAGACTGGGCCCTCTCTGAAACCAGACCACAGCTTGCTTACTCTATCAGACTCCTCTATGTCCCAACCCCAAGACCTGCATATGGGGTAGTTCAGCTGGCCTAGAAGAATTTAATTTGTGCTTGACCTAGAAGGAAGCAGAATGTAATCTAGTAGTCACTGAATCCTAGAATATTTGTCTCTCCATTAATCTCACAAGAGCAAAAATCTGTGGCTCCACAACTGTCCCACTTCTTCTGAGGCCTCCTAGGAACCCTGGCCCAGATTGCACAATTTTCTTTTTTCTTCTTTTTCTTTTTCTTTTTTTCAATTGTGATTTGGGTGAAAATTTACAGAGCAAA